TCTAGGAGTCAAATCTCTTGAACGAGAGCAAAAATGTAGGTGAACTTTGACCCGGGCCAAGACTTTTTTCTGGTGTGAAAACAAAGTCTATGCTGGTCTGCCGACCGTGTGACTTAACATCCGGGAACTTGAATAAGACATGTGTAAGATGAATGTGTAGAGGTGTTTATCTGATGAAAGCATGAGTTTTTGCGAGTTATTTGATGATATTTTGCTTCTGTTAAACGTGAAAAGATTATGAGCGGTTGTGGATAGTCTTATCAATGCGCGAAAGTGTGTGATTGTGTGATTTCCGCATGGTGTTGACTGGCAGAATTCAGGTATGTGGTCGCGTAGTTGAGCTGTTGTACTAAAGTATTCTGTACCAAGCATAGAAGCGCTTCGTCGGTGTTAGTTCAGGTGACTGTACCTTAACCAATTCTGGACACAGGAAAATTGGATAATAATAATAATAATAATAATAATAATAATAATAATAATAATAATAATAATAAAATAATAATCATCATAATAATAATGATAATAATAATAAAGACTTTATTCATATGTCAAATGCCTAGCTTACACGAAGTGTAAACTAATTGTTGACACTTAACTACTTAACTATCTAAAAAATAAAATCAAACAACTAAAATAAACAAACTCGGAAACCCTGCCCGCCCCTAAACTGCGATCAGGCGTTTATTTATTTATTTTTTTTCCAGGAAAGGGGAAAAAAGAACCCCTGATACATTTACTTCACCTAATTAAGGTATCTGTGAACATTTGTGTCATTGTGTCAGATTTTACCGGAAATTTAAGCGGTTTGCAACAAAGGCGGCTATTGTCGAAATGTATTTATCTGCTTTCCAGGAAAGCGGTGAATGTTAAGTTGATACACGTAGTCGTTAGCGAAAACATCACAGATTTTAAAGACCAAGTTAGCACTGCTGTTATTGCGAATCTTGCCTTATCGTTTTGTTCAAACCGTCAAGTCAAACAAATTAAAAAATTCACTGAAAACAATAATGGAGCAATATAATTCTGTATTTTACTGGAAGTGGTCAAAAGTACAGGAATTGATTCTGCGGCAACAAATCATTCATGATCTTTCGTCAGTTCGCAAAAGTGCGGGTTTAAAATCGTCAATGATTACTTTTCTAACACACTTTCACGCAGTTGAACTCGATCGAAATTCAAAGAAAACAAATTCTGTCTAGTACGAGCAAGAAAGCGTCGAAGAAGAAATAGCGGATATCCTTACCGGTGACAAATAACAACTCGTCCTCATCTCAGCTACCAAGGTTTCTCTCTCTTCATTGCTGACTTGATTCATTAAAAAAATTTTGTTTTTTTTCTTTAAAGACCTAGGTTTAAAACCAAAGCTTGCTGTTATGAAGACACAAAGGAATGACAGAACCTAGCACCGGAAGTCAGATATATGTTGCTTGACTAATCGGAGCAGGGCTCTGAAAAGTCTTTTGTTTTTCGACCAATCAGATATTAAAGTCCAGATTCTGGATAACGGGCAGAAAACGCGTAAAGTAAATGTATCAGGTGTCCTTTTCCCCTCGTCTCCCAAACAAAAAGGGAAGAAGGACACCTGATCGCAGGTTAGCGCGCCCCATTAATTATTCTAAGAGTTACACAGGTGACCCGTTCTTACAGGTGTCAGTTCTAATGAGGTTCTCGATGTCCACTTTTCTCACCCAGTTCTTAAAAGAAGCAAGTGTTACAGAACTCTTAATCTAGGTTTGGTTTTAGCGGGCATTTGGCTTTGAACCGCAGACCAGAAAGAGATAATTTGTGTACTATGTTTCAATGTTTTTCAGGTTTGTTGTCTTTTCCATGCAAAATCCTGTCATTTATCGGCCCGAGAGAATAGTAGTGTTTTCCTAGCTATTTAAGTTGTTATGAGAGTCCTAACCAGGCTCTTTTTAACTGCATTTCACTCAACTTCAAAATTTCGAGAGTGAAATGACACGGGTTGTCACGGAGTCAGATTACTGAATAAATTTTCTAAAATTTGCATCATTTTAAAATGAAATGCTACTAGGGACCACTAACGTACTGCCTGACGTCAGATAAAGGCTTTTAATCGGCCTTTGAATGATTTTTTATCGTTTTAAACGGCGAAGTAGTAGAATGAGTTGATTTTTTTGCTAGCCCGGTTTTCAAAACTCCAAGTATATAATTTTATAGTAAAAGGGTACCCCGGGCACTGTACCACGTCATCATGTCCCACCAGCAGTTGTGCTCCCGCATCTAATTACTATAATAGCCTACAAAATCAATATGGTGCCCTGTTGATTTCTCCATCGCAAGATAAATGAGACGCCTCTGAACCAAAATACAACTTGATGTGAGTACTGTATGTATTGCCGGTGAAACTTTCCTCGATGGACTATATACACGGGAATGCTTCACCCAAAAGGAGTACCCTTTATAGGCTAGAGTTATATAAAAAGGTAGGCATTTTACGAGTTGAGAAATAGAAAACGGTAAAAAAAAACAAAACAAAAACAACAAACAAACAAACAAAAAAAAATTACCATCCAGGTACCTTACTGGCACTTAATTTTGCGGGCACTTAATTTCGCAATTGTTGTTACAATCACGAAAAACGCGAAATTAACGCCCCACGAAATTAAGCACCAACAAGGTAACTAAAAGGGCCTACAATGAATAACAATGTGCAGCCACTTATAACGCAAATGGCGAGGAACAGACAATCAGCTTTGGAGGGAAAATTATGTTGCATGCTAGAAATTACTCCTGAAATACTGGATCCCTAAGTGTTATCCCTCGTATAGAGATCCAGGGAGTCACGCTCAACAACACTCAGCAACAACGAAGACGAGCATTTGTCATAGAGGCAAAGGGCGAGCGCCAGCGCACTTGCACAACCGCAACTGCTGAATTAGCATGTTCCCAGGGGTAAAATTCTAAAAATATATTTGGGAGCCGGAATGAAAAAATAATTAACATCCGCCACAGGTCCTCTTACACAAGCTCTTCGTGACTGGGTTTGAGCAGTAGCCAGGCCATCGTTTACACAAAGCACTATCCAGCGTGTCCGTGCAATCTAAAAAAAAAACATTTAAACCATAAGTTGAACTACGGGTAACAAGTTGAGTACTAGAAAAAATCGTTGCCACTCTTAGCTTATTCAACTTTTCCCTCAAACCTAAGCGATATTATAGCGGTTCGTTAAATAGAGGGATAAAAAAGTGTTACACTCAAAATCGGGCACGTGATGGGGTCGTGGAAAATTGAAGGTAAATTCTGTCACGACATTGATGAACAGATTTTTTCATCAAGTAAGAAATTGCAGTTCACTTTCTTACTAGATCTCTCTTCTTAAAATAACAATTACCGACTGAGTTCTGCACCATACAATCACTAAAACCTGTATCGTGTTTATTATTCCTATCCCCAATCTCGCTCCACTTTCCGTTAATTCCGACACCCGGCTGTCAAACAAGCTAATTAAAAACTCGTATTCAGTTCATTATTTCTATCCCGAATCTTGCTACTCTTTCCGCTGAAATTCCGACACCCGGCTGTCAAACAAGCTAATTTAAAACTCGTATTCAGTTCATTATTTCTATCCCGAATCTTGCTACTCTTTCCGCTGAAATTCCGACACCCGGCTGTCAAACAAGCTAATTTAAAACTCGTATTCAGTTCATTATTTCTATCCCGAATCTTGCTACTCTTTCCGCTGAAATTCCGACACCCGGCTGTCAAACAAGCTAATTTAAAACTCGTATCCTGTTCATTATTTCTATCCCGAATCTTGCTACTCTTTCCGCTGAAATTCCGACACCCGGCTGCCAAACAAGCTAATTTAAAACTCGTATCCTGTTCATTATTTCTATCCCGAATCTTGCTACTCTTTCCGTTGAAATCCTGACACCCGGCTGCCAAAGAAGCTAATTTAAAACTCGTATTCAGTTCATTATTTCTATCCCGAATCTTGCTACTCTTTCCGTTGAAATCCTGACGCCCGGCTGCCAAACAAGCTAATTTAAAACTCGTATCCTGTTCATTATTTCTATCCCGAATCTTGTTACTCTTTCCGTTGAAATCCTGACACCCGGCTGTCAAACAAGCTAAATTAAAACTCGTATCCCGTTCATTATTCCTATCCAGAATCTCTCTCCTCTTTCCCTTGAAATCCCGACACCCGGCTATCATACAAGCTCAGTTACAACTCGTATCCTGTTCATTATTCCTATCTTGAATCTCTCTCCTCTTTTCCTTCTGAAATGCTGATTACCCGCTGTCTAGACCGTTCACAGTGGCCTATTTTTCTGTAAGATCGTCGACCCCAGATCGTCGAGATCGAGCGCTTTGCGTTACGGGCTGCCATTTGGGTTTCAAATGTACCGCGGCCGGGATGGTGTCGCCTCCCTCTAAACCGTCCCCTGCCTCGTAAGTAGATTTGACACTTATCCCCAGGCTAGACTCGGTACATCTGAAACCATCAATGACCGCCCGTAGCGCAAAGCGCTCGATCTCGATAATCTTACGGAAAAATAGGCCACTCTGAATAGTCAAGCTAAATCTCGTATCTTTTTCACACTTACTATCCCAGCTAAAATCTGGAATCTCCCACTTCAATAAGATAAATTTTGGATCCCAAAAAACGTGTTAAATTAATTGAGTCTTCCCAAATGACTCGAAAGGTGTAATAATATTTACCTTTAGGGGTCGCTATTGTTTTCACAGGTTTGACTAATTAAGACAAAGTGAAGTCTTTCGTCCTGTAAAAACCCAGACACCGTGAACTACAATTGTAGGCAGCTTGAAAAAGGAGGCGTAGCTATGTCCAGTTTTAAACCATCTTGGTGGTGTAAATTTATATTTAACAATGATAATTTCGAGATGTAATATTTACCAACAGGGCAAATTTGTGTGTTACATCTTCTTCTTTCTACAGATTGTCCTCTACACGATCTCCCTCCGTTTGCCGGCGGCGGATTAATGCATGAACGTTTGCGTACCAGAAATCCTCCACCGCATGACCGAGAACACCTACTCCAAGGGCTCCACTGCGAGTAACCTCCGTCAATGGGAATATCTAACGAGAATTATAGACACATTAGACATAATCAAACCTATTTACTCAAACAAGTTGAAGCTAGGTAGCCAAACGTGCTGAATGCCACTTTCGCTTTTCCTATATTGTAACACGCTTGAAAGCGCCCCGTTTGAGAATACAATAAAATGCCTAATACAACTCGGATGTTTTTCCTCAAAAGTGGTCCTCCGAGGTCACATCTAACAAAATTGTTTCCCGCCAAAAGTTCTTTTAGCGGGTAACATAATCCATATTTACTTCAGAGGGTTGCTGTTGACCGCTTTTCAATAAATCATGATGAAACACGAAAAAAAACGCCGGGGCTGATCCAGTCATATACAAGCGTGGTCAGTGAAGGGTTTATTATATCGCCAAAAACAGAAATTGTTTCTTCCGGGGACCAACGCGGGAGGTCCCGAGCTGCAGAGATAGGCCCATCTTGCCCGCTCGGGTAGCCAGTCAGAACACAGGATCTGCATCATCTTGAACCCTTGCGAAATTACAGCGGTGGTGATAAGATATCTTAAAATACATTTAAAATTGCTGGTACTGTCAAACCCCATTAATACGGACACTGGACTGACCATAGGAAGTGTTCGTATTAAGCGGGACATATTATTAAAATCAAAAAGACATTTTTTATTAGAGCAAAATACTAAACAAATAAAAGAGGGCATAAACCTTCACAAAGCCGTCATTCCCCGGAATAAATCCACGGAAACAGTCAAAAATCACCCTCATATATCTGCTTAATCAAAACACGGTTCTCTGCATAACTCGTTTGATGTCAAAATAGTCTTAAGTTGACGTCTACGAGTCACTATATATACCGTAAATGCTCGAATTAGCGCCCAGCTTCAAATAAGCGCCCCGCTTCGAATTAGCGCCCCTCCTAAGGCTCAAAATTTGTAATAGGCGCCCCCCCTTCAAATAATGAGTTTCGGTACTCGGTACGATATACGAGACGTATACGGTCTATACGGTTCTTTTAATGAAATGTGACATTGTTAAATAGTATAAACAGTAATGTCCTTTCAAAGTCGGGTTTGCTTCTCATTTCCTTGATAGAAATATCCATGTGAACACATAGTTTCCTCGTAAAACTTTGCTCGCAATCGCCGGCTCCTTGTTACTGCCTTAAAAGTTCCTGGAATTACGAGGCCATTTTCAAGTTTCCTGCTTACAGTGACTTCAACTACCACCTGATTATCCTCATGAGCTCGTAGAAATGTAAACACGAGGAAGGAAAGTTCAATGGGTACATGTCCAACCATCTTTCCACTCTCTTGAATGAATGTTCTAACAGTATATTCATCATGCTCTTTAGCCTCCTTTCGTTCGTCTTTCCGAGTTCGCAAAAATTAGTTTTCTATAAGGTTTTTGAATTTTTATGTTGCAGTTTGGTTTTAAATAGAAATAAAGATAGTGTCATTTTGAGGCTAAAAATTGATAAACGAAATAAGCGCCCCCTTCAACTAAGCGCCCCCCTCTCGCCTTAGAAAATTAAATAAGCGCCCCGGGCGCTAATTCGAGCATTTACGGTATTTAACAATTATTCGCCGAAGGCGAAGTTAATATTGTTGAATAATCCCCGAGACGAAGTCGAGGGGATTATTCAACAATATTAACTGAGTCCGAGGTGAATAATTGTTTTAGTATATTCACACGAAGTGATCTCAACAGAATCAGAGAGGAAACCATTAAAAAACGATTAGTTTGATTGACAGGTGAATTCATGCGTGAACACGAAGCCGTAAACAGTGGATGCGCAAAAGTTAGATCTTTACAGTATCTTCAAACATGGCAAATGATAGTTTTAATTTCTTTGTATCGAGTTTTTGTAAGCTTTAGCATGAACAGTTTAAAAGAAAACGCCGAAAATTTAGATTACTACCCAATTCTGAGAAGAAAAGTAGAGCTTTATTTGTTTCTGTCAACTCACCGTGAATGAGAAAGTTTTCTTTGTCGCTTCTTGCAAATGCTGTCAACAGCGGCTACGATCAAGGTGAGCTTTGTTTATCTCCAATGCTCTTTGCCTTGTTAACTTGCTGGCGTGTACAATTTTCGAAAATATTTGCCTTCCTCTTTTCTCCATGAATTAAGTTCTATTTATAGGCAAAATTGGTCTTGCGAGAAAATCCCGAAATCACAAAACGGTGACAAAGCGACCTCGTTTTCCTCAGTAGTGGTAAACATAGCTTCGAGTGTACAAAAAGTCAGCTACAGTAAACCACTTCACAATAAATCACGCTGTTTAAACACCATGAAGTCTTTTCTTGCCTTCAAAATCATCAGAACTTGGATATTCGTGCATTTTCAAAAAGGCTTTACTCTGAAACTTTGCCACAACACCCAGTTCACGACAGCGGTTTTGTTCTGCTTTATATTCACCGCCTAGCGCGGTGAATATAACGTCATAGTCCGAGATAGCTAAC